TTAAGCACTCTGGTGACCGGAAAGAAAGTGAATATATATATATATAACTTTTGAATGGCTGAATGGGTGAAATTTGATGACTTCACCCCCATCCAACCATGTCATCATAAGTTCCTGGGACAAACAAACTGTTGACACTGGGTATAGACCTTGACATGTTTCATGGGCCAGTCAACAGGGACCCACGAAATCCGACATCATGGACCCGAACGGTTTGTCTCGCCAGGGGAAACCATCGAAATGGGTTCATCGAAGCTGTGATCCGCAAAGTATCCAAAGTAGAACAGGAATTCAACATGTTTCAGCAGACATTGATCATTAACTTATTATATAATTATATATATATACGTATATATAAGTGATTTGATTTGAATGCACTATGTCATTGTGTTATTTGTGCCAGGCTGTTTACATCTCCGCGTTAACATTGGCAGTCGTGCCTGGACGGTCACTGGAGCTACATCAACGACATGCTGCAGCCGAGATAGAAGATGCTCCTGGGGGGTCAACTCTGGAAGTCATTCGGGTCTCAACTCCGCATGGCTCCCCCCATGTCATTGGTTTAACGAGGTTTAACCCAAAGTCTCCCAGCCCAGTCACCTTACGGCTTGCTCATATGGTTGATGCTAGTTTAATGCGCGTTTTGGGGTACTATAGGCACGACTCTCTGACAACAAAGAACCAGGGATGGACTCTTCCCAGCAAGACCGTTCACTCGATTCTGGGCCGGATGCGCTGTGTTTGCGAATGCAAGGTGTTGCAGGAAGCAACAGAAACAGGCGTATCGTCGTACCGCAAAATCCAAAATGGTCAAAGCCAAACTTTCTGTATTGGTTACATTTACAACTTCTCTGTCCCTCTGCAGTACCGAAACGCAACATCCGCTCTGCATTGTGCCGGTACGAGTACTGATATTGGTTGTTAGTCACTAGGTGCTTTTTGGCCATGGCAGCAATTACTACAGGTCACATGAAAACGTAATTCCACATCAAGAAATGTCTAGGGCCTAAGGGGCATCGCCCTGTCACAGAACTACCAGGTGCTGCTGGTCGCATCCTTGCAATTCCATGGACACCCTCGAGCCTGTTGCTTCGCACTGTGCAAGTCCATCAATGGAGAAGATTCGAAACAACTGAGGACTAACGTGATGCCATCAGTACCTGCGCATAGTGCTGGAGAATATCAGAAATCACATGGACCAACCAGAGAAATATCCCATTGCTGTTGTCTTGAAGTGCGCAAACAGGAACAATTGCAGCATTCAACGATTCTATGCAGTAGCGATCTGAAGGTGAATACTTAGGTAAATTAAAAACGGTATGCTCGTGGCAAACAGCATGAGTATATCTTCCTGCAAAGCACAACCTGTGTGTGCAATTCCAAGATCATGCCATGCATTGCTAAAGGTTTTTTTTTCAAATCAGAAATGCTTAGAAATACGTGGAAATGTGCGTTGTTCAACAACCTTGCATCTGCGAATCTTGCATTGATTTACTACCATGCTGGGCGCTGCTATGCAGTTGAAGGTTGCATATTACGAAGGTTCAGCTACTGCGAGCTCTGCCACTGCTTTCTTGCTCTTGTTTATGTGCGTCTGTCTTGATCGCGTCATCATCTTCTTCTTCTTCTTCTTCTTCTTCTTCTTCTCTTTCTTCTTCTTCAACAACAACTTGTTCTACAACTTCTTCTTCTTCTTCCTCTTCTTCTTCTCCGTCTTCTTCTTTTCCTTGTTCCTGTCCTTGTTGTCCCTCTTGTCGTAGTCACCATCACCGTCGTGGTGTTACCTTTCTTTTGCTCTGTCTCCTTCCGGAATTTTCTATTTTCGTACAATGTCTGATGTGTATGTACGATCCTGTGCTGATCGTACATACCGTTTATATGTATATCATCATATTATATTATATTTTATATTATATATTATATTATATTGTATCATATTATAGTATATAATAATATAATCTAATATAATATAATATGATATATTATATTATATTATATTATATTGTATTATATTATATTGTATTATATCATATTATATTATATCATATTATATTATATCATATTATACTATATCATATTATATTATATTATAATATATTATATAACAATATATAATATAATAATATAATATAATATATTATATTATATCATATTATATTATATCATATTATACTATATCATATTATATTATATAATAATATATTATATAAGAATATATAATATAATAATATATTATATTGTATTATATTATATTATATCATATTATATAATATATATATGTTTGTGAACTCCTGTCAAAATCCTTTACAGCTCAGTAGTTGCTCTTATCGGTGATCGCTCTTTTTGGGGGACATATCGCTTTCCAGTGTTTTGTGCCAGTATCGCTTTTGGCGGGACCTCTATCGCTTTACGACCAGGTCCATGACCGTGCTCATGCAATGCCCAGCGTGGATCAGAGAGGACCATTATTGCCCAATTTCGACTCATCCAACAATCCTGTCACCTTGTAACCACATAGTCAGATTGTATCAGATTGTCATATGGTCTGCAAATGAATGTGTGTGTGTGTTTGTGCAGTCTCTTCACACCATCCCTTGCACAAAATGGTGGCTTCTTTTCACCGGGTTCATCCGGGTTCACTAAAGTGGCGCAGCTAAGCTTTCACTGCGCAACTCTCGTGCTTCGGTCCTTGAACTGAACAAAAGCCCAAAAGCCAAAAAACCTGCTGAGTCATCACAGCTTGGTGGTTGTGTGTCAATCGGGTATCATAAGCATATTGTTGCAGCGACACTCTAAGGAGTAATCTTCTTGGCCGCACACTGCAATTTTGAGACAAGAATTCATGACCTAAGACGGGCCTAAGAGTCAATAAAAACGACAATCCATTGTGAAATCCATCAGGGAATGGCCATGCGGGGTGCTGTTAGCTTTTGTTCAGCATTGGTGAGATGGTTTGGCAGCTCCTTAAAACCACTTGGAGCTGTTGCCAAACTGGGGAATTCACATGCCCCTGGAGAGGAATTTTTGGGGTGAACAAATTCCGGCATGTTTCCATCTCCAAATTCAGCTGTGCTTCCCTGAAAACATCAGAAAACCATATCAGCTCAGCGAGGGAAAAGGAAGAGTGCCTTGCAGGCCACAGCAGCCATCGCCACCTTCCAAGTCTTTCCTGTCTCATGGCATCTCAGAAAGACACGCGACGATTCGCCCCCTGACGCAAGCGGTGACCCCAAGAAAAATCGACATCGACCCTGGTGCAACCTGGGGACACCTATCAGATCCTATCAGTGCCTACCAGTATCACCACATCACAATGTGATATCCATAGGCAAATGCCGGGGCCCCAGACCCTCTCGACATGCACTTTCTCCTCAACAACCTGATGGCGTTTATGCCGGGCCCTGAGAAAAATGTGTTCGATAAAGCCCCGCAGATGCGTTCCCGAATTTAGGCAGAAATCTATCCAGTTCTGAGTCTGAAAGGACCCAAATGGGTTTGTCTGAAAATAGGGTATATTCCCAAACAAATAGCCATAAAAAATAGGGATAATGGTCAGCAAAACCATTGGGTTTAGGGGTTTTCTCTATTTTCAGACACACCCAAATGATCATATCATCTGGTTATTTAATGATTATATCTATGGTGATTTAAGATTAATATGGGAATATCTATGGTTAATGGTGATTAATAGTGAATTAATGGTGATTATATCTGAACAGTACTTGTCATATTGGCAAAAGAAGGGTCAAAAAAACTCGAAGACGTTCGTCCAGTTCAGAGGAGCTCCAAAACTCAGTCAGCTTTCGCCAAGGCACTGATGCGCTTTCGGACAAAGCAACAAAAGCTGCCTCCAAAATGGGAGCCGAATTGCAGTTCCACAGAACCTTTTGAGTTGAAATCTGAAAATGGTTTAATAATTGTTTTATATACAAAAAATGATTTTACAATGAATGTTTTTTTTCATTCGATGAGAGTCTCTGACCACAAGTCCGCTGGGCAGAAGCAAAGTCGTCTCTGCTTCAGCTTCGCAGTAGTCATGCCCACAAAAAATCTCAAAAGCTAAGAGACCGGGTAACGCAACAACTCAGTTAACTCGGCACTCCAACATATCATGTGAATTTATATGAAATTACATGAACCTACATAACATGTATTCGACTAAGAAGTAGCTGATCAAAGTCCAAACTCGCATCAGAGTCATCACATGGCGTTCTTGCAGCGGAGCTTAGCCTGAAGGCTCCCATGCGTCTTCTGCAAATGCGCTTTCAGCTTCCATAGTCCGAAGAACTGCGGCGGTGGCTGCACGTGAGGGAAACAATAGACGCAATGGATGCCTGATGACAGCCAATGGCAAATGGTCGTGGCGCAACTCGGGAGGCTTGTGCCAACATGTGCCAACTTGGGATGTTTCAACAGGTTTCAACTTTTCGTGCCTCACTTCGTTTGGGAAGGGCATCTGACAGGATCAACCTCAGGCGCAACAGTCACGCCCCAGCTCCAGACTAAAATGATTCAATCTTGGGTCCTGTGGATGTGTGTTTATCTTAGGAACGTGGACAATTGCGGCGAGACTTGGGCATGTTGGAAGGAGATGTGAAACCGATTGCTTCCACTTCAAAATTCACCTGTGAATCTATAAGATTCATTAAAATTCATTAAAATTCTATGAACAAGCCTGAGTATCTGACAAACGGTCCTGAAAGATCCGTTGATGCTCATCAAAGTCCAAGATACCTCGGAACGAGAGGTGCTTCCAGCATGGCCGAGGGCCTGAAGGTCAGAAAAATGATCCAGCTGGAGGAGGACGGCGACAACGAACGACCGTGACAATGATTGAGATTACTGTCATCATTGTCAGCTGGAGTATTCTCATCTGCCACATAGTTCTGGTATGTTCTGGTTATTGTTAGCATGGTATCATATTCATGGCTGCAAGCACTACCGTTTCGATCATCATTAGTGTCAAAATCATAAAAGGAGGATCATTGTCCTCGTCCTCACTATGATCTGACCTTCAAGGGACGCGACAACTCATCCATGGTCTCAACTTTGCAGTTTGGTGTCCACAAAGAAATCAGCATTTTCCATGTCGATTTAGTGGTAGCTAGCTCAAGATACTCAAGATACTCAAGATCATCCATGATATCACAACACGATACAGCAAGCGCTGCAGCACCAGCAGAAATTGTTTCTGCTATACATCTGAGAGTCTGACCAAAGACCATCTTGGCATCTGCCTCCTCTGTTTTGGAGCCAAATTCCTCAGGACCACAGCTGGATTTGCCGATGCGGCTGGTGGCCAATAGATTGGTGTCCAACCTCGTCCCATGATGCCATGGTATGCTATCCATGGCTTCAACAGACGACTAAACAGTCGACCAACAGTCCTTCCAGGCTGATACGAAGGAGTTGCGGCTCATGCTGGCACGTTGTCCCGCATCATAGGTCCGCAGGTCCAGCTTCACCTGCACACCACTGCAGCTGCTTAGAACACTCAAGTTCATGTCGTTTTTCCTGGTGCCAAATGATCTTGGGACTCATGAAAACTATGTCAAACTGTGTCAAACTAGAAATCTTGAGTGCTTCATGTACTTCCCCAATTCTTCAAAGAGTTCCTGGTGTATGCTGTCCTCATATTTTGCATCTCCCTCCTCGAGTCTGACAATTTCTGTTGCGACCATAAGCGCAACGTGCTGCCACATTTGGTGATGGGCATGGGTCTACTATACCAGATGATTCTCGCAGAAAATGCAGGCGAAGCAGCTGTCGCACTATCATTTCAGGTTTGAGAAATGTATTTGTTTTCGCCAAATCCTGTCCTGCTACGAGGATGCTGACATTGTGATATGTTCAAACATGTACAACAGTGCCTGCGTGTAAGCTGCAATGTTCTGAACTAAAAGAAAGCTGGTAGAGTATTTTGCACATGCCGTCAGGGCCCAGACATGTACAATAGGAAGTTCATCAATGATACCTGCATCTTCTGCATCATCAGGTCTTCACTAAAAGTTCTGAAGCACACCCACCACAAGGTATTCCTTGGCCTTGGATGAGAACCACACAATGGCGTTTGAAACCTTTCACTGGCGGACCGGTGATAGATGGACATGTGCCGCTTGCTTGATCCCGCAGCAACGAAAGACTATCAGAGTCTTTTCATGTACGCATGTGCTCCCGACACTTCTTGCACACAGGTCCAAGCATCCAACAAATGCTTCATTGAAATGCCGATCCGAAGAATGGCAAAGTCATATTGGATCTGGTTGTTCTGTAAATACCCTCTGGTAATTTAACATAGCTATTGAAAATGGCCATAGAAATAGTGGATTTTCCCATTAAACATGGTGATTTTCCATAGTTATGTTAGTTTACCAGAGGGTATCACCCAAATGTTTTCGCGTGTCGAGTGGCCCAAAAGAATCCGAGGCAGCCATGCTTTGCCCAGCTCATCTCCGTGGTAGCCATGGCGAATCCCGAGTCCACCGCTACCACGGTCCAACGGTCATGGTCCAACCATATTAGATCCAGTGGACGACTCACAGAACTGGCAGCAATATATATATAAGATTATATAAGTAGAAAACATATTCATTTTACAACCAGGAAAACAAAATCAATGGGATCCTTTCAAAGAAAAGGTCCCGCAACATCTACGAAAATTGCACCAAGATGCAACAAGCATGGTCTTGCCAGTACTCCGATCTCAAGACAGAGCCGTCTTCGAATTCGCAATTCACACCATGCAAAGGGCACGACCTTATCACTTCCAGGCACGCTGTTGGGCATGCAAGCTGAATGATGAAGATTAGAGCCCTCCAGATCTCCAAAACATCCTAGCCGTTTTATAGGGATGAAGCCTCTCGGCTTGCAGGATGTCCATCATACTAAGCTCCGTGCCTACTCTTGGTGCAAATCCTTTCCCTTTCGAACCAGCAGCTCAATAAACTGGATGGACTATAACATCATCAAAGTCACATGTCCAAATGTTCACCTCTTTTCAATCAACCTCCAACATGTGCGATATCTATATATATATACCAATTCACGTCCATTCCAAGGCCACACGAAGGGCCCTGAGTTTCATACGAACTTCATGAGCCATTTGCAAACCCTCTGCCACGAAGTCCACCTCAGAGGTTTGTGCAGTAAGTTTGTAGATGTTTGTAGGTAACCCAACGAGGAATTGAAGAATGTGTTGCCGAAATTGGGAACGCAACTGGCAGAGTGATTTCCTGGCATGACCGAATTGAGGGATCGGGATATTTTACATATTTCAAGAGGATTTGGGGTTCCATGACTTGAAGAAACCAGCACGGTCTGCTTCTCAATGGGCTGGGTTCAGGCGAATGGCTTGGTGTGACTAGAATTGCCTAGAATCATCTCTCCATATGGCATCCAGCTACAAAATAGCCAACACAGCCGCAGCGTATCAGCCACCCCTGAGATCGAGATTCAAGCAGGAACACATCGCTCCACGGAGACTTGAAGCCGCACGCGACCTATTGTGACACGGAACCCAGAGAAACTTTGCAGCACCACTGGACACCACTTCACCATGTCATGTTTCTAGGAGCTACCAAGTCACTGATCGCCTTGACTACCAAACATTGCAAAGTATCCCTAGGCACCCTAGGCACCCTAGGCACCCTAGGCACCCTAGGCACCCTACATCTGGCGGCATGAAATCAGGATGCAATATCCGACCTGTGGTGCAATAAGGGTTCGCACTTTGATGTTTACCTAAGAGCTAGGACCAGCACTTTAGGGCTGTGCCCGCATCACCCCACCTAACATCTCTTAACTTAACCATCTGTTTGGTAGGTTGGATCCTCACTTGTAGCAAACCCTAGCCATCTGTAAAAGACGCCTGTTACCCCGGTGGAAATGTGGCCTTCATAGTTCTCCTTTCGGCATTTCAATGTCAGCGTCCAGCGTCGAAACATGTTGCCTGCAGCACGGATGGGTCTAGGTAAGATAGAAAGGGTACAATTTAAGGAGAATGGGTATATTAAATCGGCTGTCTACACATATGGGATGGGTAGGAGCATGGAAAAACACATGTATTTTCTACAAATGATATGCGTTTCATAATTTTCAATGCGAAGTATCATGAACTATCCTGGGTTCCAAGGATGTTCCAAGGCATTTCGAAGTCATCCCCCTATTTTCCCCGTCACAAAAAGGGCCAAGGGGCGGAAGATCCGCGTGTAGGTCTTCTCGGCCTGGAAAACATGGTCCATCCTGCATCATATCTATCTCTCTATCTCTCTATCTCTCTTTACCTATCTATATCTATCTGTTTGTCTGTCTGATTTCATCTCATCTAATCGATATAATGGTCTATCTATACATATCTTAAAACCAACTGATATTAAAGGGATATATCATATTAGACCATCTTATCTTAAAACTAAATGATAGGTTTCATGACCGGTTAGAAAGCTGCCCAGTGAAAACAGCCCAGGATCCAAGATCTTTGATCCAATGTTTTCCATAGCATCCCTCCATGGGGGATCCCTGCCACCTGCATGTTGCCAGCCATGCGCTCATCTTCAAGCACAGCCACTTCTGCTGCAGGAACATCTGCCAAGACTTCGGCCTCATACTGGGCCAAAAATGATATACCGACGTACCCAAAAGATCCCCAAAAGGATCAAAAAGGCGCCTATTGTTCCGTCTTGTTCTATCATGTTCTGTCATGGTCATGTGAATCGTGTTGAGTTGTGTCCGTCGCGTCCCGGATTGGTAAGGATAAAGCAGCACAAAGGTGCCAGAACCCTCAACCCCTCCCAGTTCCTCGGATCCCGCCGTCACTAGCCTCCGCCCCAAAGGCCCTGCAATGGACCTGTGCAGTGCTGGTCTCAATTGGAACCGTCCATAAAAATGAAAACCCCGCCCGACCAAATGATCCAAATGTATTGACTATGCCCGTGTCATCTGAAAGTCTGCGAGATCAACACCTGACGAATCCTTTCGATGGTGCACATGCACAGGATTGCTCCACTTCGGTGGTCTGCAGGGACTTCTGAGAGCAGCCAGCAGCCCATCCCCATGTCCACCATGTGCCAAGCGACTGTAGCAAATGCATCAGCGACCTCCAGGGTTCAGTTGTGCAAAAAGAGCATGCATACAGTTCGAACTTTCAAGCACCAGTTGATATCCTGTATGGTGTGAAGGAAACTTCGGTGAAACTACTGTACATTGTTGGCTGATCAGAACAGTTCAGAAACGTACCTGGAATATATGGGTGGTTCACGCTCATCGATGTGATTGTCACCCCAACGACCCAGTTTTGTAACCACTCCTGCGTCTACTCTGCTGATTTGTTTCAAGATTATGAATCTTTGCCTGTTTCTTGATCCTAACACAACAGGCCGTCTTTGTGCACAGGCCACCCTGCTACATTGGGGATGGCAGGGGCCAATACGCGAATGAACTTTCTCCATGTCTACAACAAACTTCATTGGGAAATCACGTGTGTCACCAAGAACACAATGCCACAGGATGTTTTACTTACTTGTGCTCAGTAGGAAATGGGGGAATGGGATGATTGTTCATGCTTATATATACTTATTACGGATCATTCCCCCATTCACCCATTTCCCCTCAAGCACCAGTAAGTTTAATGATGAAGCGCCTGCAACAACATGTTGAAGCGCGCCGCTGGCTCAGGACAAATATGACCAGCTGCGCATTGTCCGTTCTCCACCTGACGACTGTCAACCCTAAGCTTGTGGTGGAGTCTAGAAAACTTGAATTATATAAATTATATTATATATACGTATGTATATGATCAAAGGAAGTTTAGTGGGAGAAACTTCCGTGTTACGGACTTTTAGAATGTCAAAGAAAGAGTTAGTCAAAGAAAGAGTTAGTCAAAGAAAGAGTTAGTCAAAGAAAGAGTTAGTCAAAGAAACAGTTAGTCAGGGAAAGAGTTAGTCAAAGAAAGAGTTAGTCAAAGAAACAGTTAGTCAGGGAAAGAGTTAGTCAAAGAAACAGTTAGTCAGGGAAAGAGTTAGTCAAAGAAAGAGTTAGTCAGGGAAAGAGTTAGTCAAAGAAAGAGTTAGTCAGGGAAAGAGTTAGTCAAAGAAACAAAGAAAGAGTTAGTTAGTCAGGGAAAGAGTTAGTCAAAGAAAGAGTTAGTCAAAGAAAGAGTTAGTTAGTCAGGGAAAAAGAGTTAGTCAAAGAAAAAGAGTTAGTTAGTTAGTCAAAGAAACAGTTAGTCAGGGAAAGAGTTAGTCAAAGAAACAGTTAGTCAAAGGTAGTCAAGAGAGTTAGTCAGGATATATGAGGTAGTCAAAGAAAGAGTTAGTCAAGGAAAGAGTTAGTCAAAGAAACAGTTAGTCAGGGAAAAAGGTAGTCAAAGAAAGAGTTAGTCAGGATATATGAGGTAGTCAAAGAAAGAGTTAGTCAGGATATATGAGGTAGTCAAAGAAAGAGTTAGCAAAGAAAGAGTTCGTCAGGGAAAGGGTTAGTCACAGAAAGAGTTAGTTAGGGCATTGATTGTTCCCGCAATGCAAATGGGATTGCAAGTGGTGCTGGTGGATGAGTTGCCGATGGAGTTTTGAAGGAAGTCTCGCACGAAATGCGTTTTTGAGAGATAGCAGATGCACGAAACCCTATGTTTTTCCATACAAAGTGCGTCCCGAACCTCGATGATCTACCTCTGCGGTGCGACGGGTGCGAGACGGTCTCGTGTGTGGTCGGATCATGGTCGGATCATGGGCGGATCATGGGCGGATCATGGTCGGATCGGTTCCGCATTGTAAATGGGGTTTCAACTGTTTTTCGTGCATGTGTGGTCGACAGAATTCCATTGTGATTTGCAACTGTAGGATCGTTCCCGCATTGTAAATGGGGTTGCAAGTGGTGCTTGTGGATGAGTTGCCGATGGAATTCCATTGTGATTTGCAACTCTAGGATCGTTCCCTCACTGTAAATGGGATTGCAAGTGGTGCTGGTGGAGGAGTTGCCGATGGAGTTTTGCAGAAAGTCTCGCACGAAATGCGTTTTTGAGAGATAGCAGATGCACGAAACCCTATGTTTTTCCATACAAAGTCCGTCCCCGAACCTCGATGATCTACCTCTGCGGTGCGACGGGTGCGAGACGGTCTCGTGTGTGGTCGGATCATGCTCGGATCATGGTCGGATCATGGGCGGATCATTCTCGGATCGGTTCCGCATTGTAAATGGGGTTTCAACTGTTTTTCGTGCATGTGTGGTCGACAGAATTCCATTGTGATTTGCAACTGTAGGATCGTTCCTCGCAATGTAAATGGATTGCAAGTGGTGCTGGTGGATGAGTTGCAGATGGAATTCCATTGTGATTTGCAACTCTAGGATCGTTCCCTCACTGTAAATGGGATTGCAAGTGGTGCTGGTGGATGAGTTGCCGATGGAGTTTTGAAGGAAGTCTCGCACGAAATGCGTTTTTGAGAGATAGCAGATGCACGAAACCCTATGTTTTTCCATACAAAGTGCGTCCCCGAACCTCGATGATCTACCTCTGCGGTGCGACGGGTGCGAGACGGTCTCGTGTGTGGTCGGATCATGGTCGGATCATGCTCGGATCGGTTCCGCATTGTAAATGGGGTTTCACCTGTTTTTCGTGCATGTGCGGTCGACAGAATTCCATTGTGATTTGCAACTGTAGGATCGTTCCCGCAATGTAAATGGGATTGCAAGTGGTGCTGGTGGAGAGTTGCAGATGGAATTCCATTGTGATTTGCAACTGTAGGATCGTTCCCGCAATGCAAATGGCATTGCAAGTGGTGCTGCCGGATGAGTTGCCGATGGAGTTTTGAAGGAAGTCTCGCACGAAATGCGTTTTTGAGAGATAGCAGATGCACGAAACCCTATGTTTTTCCATACAAAGTGTGTCCACGAACTTCGATGATCTACCTCTGCTGTGCGACGGGTGCGAGACGGTCTCGTGTGTGGTCGGATCATGTTCGGATCATGTTCGGATCGGTCTCGGATCATGCTCGGATCGGTCTCGGATCGGTTCCGCATTGTAAATGGGGTTTCAACTGTTTTTCGTGCATGTGTGGTCGACAGAATTCCATTGTGATTTGCAACTGTAGGATCGTTCCCGCATTGTAAATGGGGTTGCAAGTGGTGCTGGTGGATGAGTTGCCGATGGAATTCCATTGTGATTTGCAACTCTAGGATCGTTCCCTCACTGTAAATGGGATTGCAAGTGGTGCTGGTGGAGGAGTTGCCGATGGAGTTTTGGAGGAAGTCTCGCACGAAATGCGTTTTTGAGAGATAGCAGATGCACGAAACCTATGTTTTTCCATACAAAGTGCGTCCCCGAACCTCGATGATCTACCTCTGCGGTGCGACGGGTGCGAGACGGTCTCGTGTGTGGTCGGATCATGGTCGGATCATGGGCGGATCATGGGCGGATCATGCTCGGATCGGTTCCGCATTGTAAATGGGGTTTCAACTGTTTTTCGTGCATGTGTGGTCGACAGAATTCCATTGTGATTTGCAACTGTAGGATCGTTCCCGCAATGTAAATGGGATTGCAAGTGGTGCTGGTGGATGAGTTGCCGATGGAATTCCATTGTGATTTGCAACTCTAGGATCGTTCCCTCACTGTAAATAGGATTGCAAGGTTGCTTCCTGCTTTGGCTGCATACGTAATACTATTGTCTTTTGCAGCTGGACTTCGTAAATCGTATTGGAGTGGCTGCATGAAGGCTGCGACAGTGATTTGTCAGCAGATTTTCTCCATTTTGGCGCTAGTGATTTTCCTTCTAAAAATCCTTTTAAAAAGTGCTTCAAAATTGTCTTTTTTTCGCTCTGGCGTCGAGATCCATCCGGTTTTGGAGCTACAATTTCCGACGCCGTTGCGCGTAGTTCTATTGTGTTTTGCAACTCAGTCTCTGCAGATCGCATTGTAATGGCTGCGTCAAGGTTGCTTCGTGCTGTGGCTGCATTTGTCATACTATTGTCTTTTGCAGCTCGACTTCGTAAATCGTATTGGAGTGGCTGCATGAAGGCTGCGACAGTGATTTGTCAGCAGATTTTCTCCATTTTGGCGCTAGTGATTTTCCTTCTAAAAATCCTTTTAAAAAGTGCTTCAAAATCGTCTTTTTTTCGCTCTGGCGTCGAGATCCGGTTTTGGAGCTACAATTTCCGACGCCGTTGCGCGTAGTTCTATTGTGTTTTGCAACTCAGTCTCTGCAGATCGCATTGTAATGGCTGCGTCAAGGTTGCTTCGTGCTGTGGCTGCATTTGTCATACTATTGTCTTTTGCAGCTCGATCTCGTAAATCGTATTGGAGTGGCTGCATGAAGGCTGCGACATGGATTTGTTAGCAGATTTTCTCCATTTTGGCGCTAGTGTTTTTTTGTTGCACGTAGGTTTAGAGCAGTGTGAAGTGTGGGGCGTGAAGAGTGCAGTGTGAAGTGTGCAGTGTGAAGGAAGCAGTGGGAAGTGAGAAGTGTGAAGTGTGGAGTGTGAAGTTTAAGTTTGGAGTGCGAAGAGCGCAGTGTGAAGTGTGAAGTGTGAAGTGTGAGGTTTGGAGTGTGAAGGAAGCAGTGAGAAGTGTGAAGTGTGGACTGTGAAGTGTGAAGTGTGAGTGAAGTGTGGAGTGTGAAGTGCGAAGTGAGAAGTGTGAAGTGTGAAGTTTGGAGTGTGAAGTTTGGAGTGGGAAGGAAGCAGTGAGAAGTGAGAAGTGTGAAGTGTGGACTGTGAAGTGTGGAGTGTGAAGTGCGAAGTGAGAAGTGTGAATTTTGGAGTGTGAAGGAAGCAGTGAGAAGTGAGAAGTGTGAAGTGAGAAGTGTGAAGTGTGGACTGTGAAGTGTGGAGTGCGAAGAGCGCAGCGTGAAGTGTGAAGTGTGAAGTGTGAGGTTTGGAGTGTGAAGGAAGCAGTGAGAAGTGTGAAGTGTGGACTGTGAAGTGTGAAGTGTGAGTGAAGTGTGGAGTGTGAAGTGCGAAGTGAGAAGTGTGAAGTGTGAAGTTTGGAGTGTGAAGTTTGGAGTGGGAAGGAAGCAGTGAGAAGTGAGAAGTGTGAAGTGTGGACTGTGAAGTGTGGAGTGTGAAGTGCGAAGTGAGAAGTGTGAAGTTTGGAGTGTGAAGGAAGCAGTGAGAAGTGAGAAGTGTGAAGTGAGAAGTGTGAAGTGTGGACTGTGAAGTGTGGAGTGCGAAGAGCGCAGCGTGAAGTGTGAAGTGTGAAGTGTGAGGTTTGGAGTGTGAAGGAAGCAGTGAGAAGTGTGAAGTGTGGACTGTGAAGTGTGAAGTGTGAGTGAAGTGTGGAGTGCGAAGTGCGAAGTGAGAAGTGTGAAGTGTGAGTTTTGGAGTGTGAAGTTTGGAGTGGGAAGGAAGCAGTGAGAAGTGAGAAGTGTGAAGTGTGGAGTTTGAAGTGTGGAGTGTGAAGTGCGAAGTGAGAAGTGTGAAGTTAGGAGTGTGAAGGAAGCAGTGAGAAGTGAGAAGTGTGGAGTGTGAAGTGCGAAGTGAGAAGTGTGAAGTGTGAAGTTTGGAGTGTGAAGGAAGCAGTGAGAAGTGAGAAGTGTGAAATGTGGAGTGTGAAGTGTGAAATGCGAAGTGAGAAGTGTGGACTGTGAAGTGTGAAGTGTGAAGTGTGGACTGTGAAGTACGAAGTGTGAAGTGTGGACTGTGAAGTGTGGACTGTGGAGTGTGAAGTGTGAAATGTGAAGTGTGAAGTGTGGACTGTGAAGTGTGAAGTGTGCAGTGTGAAGTGTGAAGTGTGAAGTGTGAGGTTTGGAGTGTGAAGGAAGCAGTGAGAAGTGAGAAGTGTGGAGTGTGAAGTGTGGAGTGTGAAGTTTGAAGTTTGGAGTGCGAAGAGTGCAGTGTGCAGTGTGAGGTGTGGAGTGTCGAGGGAAGGACACGGTCGGGACAGGGTGTCTTTGAACTATAGGTCATTTATGTTTGGGAAACTTCCGCCGCCGGCTTGCCCGGGTCTATGTTAATAGTTGTAGAGTGTAGGGCTATTGAATGCAAAGACAGCTAGAAGTGTGAGCTTCCAAATAGTTCACGAAGCGCTCACAGGTTCAAAACAGGGTCCAGCAGTCAAAGCCCACTCGCAAGACACATCCCACACCACCTTCTTGTTGCAAAGCCGTGGCTTGTCGAATCCCGGAACTTCTGTCGTGCAGCCCTTGGGTCAAATCACAGCTTCTGCAGCTGGAACTTTCGACTTGCTGAGCTATGAGAAGCTGTAGAGACTTTGTAACATCTGTAATATGTTCAAACATGTTCAAACTGCTTCCAGCCATCTGCAGATCTCAAGTTTTAGGGTAACCAGGTGACCCTGAAAATCCTCCTCAGAACTTGCCGAACTTTCTGAACAATTGCCAGGCTCCGGGGCCCAGTAGAAAGGCGCCGCACGCTCGTTCCGGACCGCCACCACTGTGGCCTCAGGGGCAAAATTCAGGGCCTTGAGGGATTTTGAGGGCCTTATTTTTTGACCCAGACCCATAGTCATCGAGAAATATCACGAATATTCAAGAATCAGTTTGCAATGTCAATGAAAATCATTGAAAATCCCCATGTCAAACAGCAACTGAAGTACTTCACGCTTGCCACAATGGCACAAGAAAGAATTAAGCGGTTCTCATGATTTCCTGATGATACAAACGGGAGGGCTCCCCAGGGCTCCCAGCCGAAACCTGGTGAAAGTTCACCTTAGCCACTCTACCCAGCGAGCCATCAACATGTTGAACAAATATTTGAACAAATATCGCATCTTATGCAGAGATTGCAAACCCTGCTCTATTCATTGACATGTCACGTGTGTTTCACAAAACATCAGGAATTGAATCGAAATCCGGTGACCCGGTGTGTGTTCAAATGTGTCTGCCTTCGTAGAGGCTTTCAGAACAAGCCAGTCTCTTCCCGTCCAAGCCACAACTGCCGTGCCCAAGATTCACGTCGTGTTTCAATCCCAGTGACTGCGCGCACCGATCGATCTGTCCCTGGCATGACACCCGCTTGAAGCAACGCGTCCTGCGCTGAAATGTCAAAGGGAAGCAGGTTTCAACATGAGATTTATCCAAAAGCTCTGTTTGAAAGTCTCATATTGAATTGGTAGATAATAATATTGTGAACCTAATCGCATGTCTGCACAGTCAAAACAAAACAAACGCACTGAAAACAGGTGCAAACACCGCGGCAAATTGCACTTTCCGGTGATGATGCGCCAGTAGCAGGAGTTCTTCGCACTTATTATAGCTTATAACAGGTTTGCAGCCTATTATATATATATATTATATATATATATTATATATATATAACCATATATAACCTTTACACAACAGAATCAACAGATATACCATGATATACCACTGATATCCACTGATTATAATCAGAGATATTCATGGAACCGTACCAACATGTACCAACTACGATAGCATCCATCGAAGACCGGCGGGATCTCCTCCGCCAGAGCCTCCGCAATGTTCCGCTTCTTCCCGCGCGCTGGGCCCACTACTGCAGAGAGCTGACCTAAACGTGGTGGAAAGATGCTGTGGGTGAGCAACGCTTCCAGAATTTCATGGAATTTGGGAGAAACAAATCAGAAGCTGGGTTTCAGCAGACAAGATTGGGGGGTGAACTAAATATTCCTGTTTATACAAGTTTGAAATCAGTACAGGCTCAGTACAGGTACATATCTTTCTTGTGCTTGGGATGCATTGCACACCAGTTTTGGAATTTCCACTGCCAGCCCTGGGCACCATCACGTACAGGTTCGTCGCGCCCCTTTTGATACCACGCTTGTAGTCGAAACCTCGGCAGACCGCTGGAGCATCATGGGGTGCAACTTCATGTGTTGATCACAGACTGGTACCCCAATAATGGAATGGTGTATAATGGTGTAGTAGTGAAACAATGACTAAGATTAGTTTGGCGGATCGCTAGCGAAACTGTGAGGCATATCCAAATGTTTGGTGCAAGGATCCAAGACTTGAGACTTGTGATTTACCTGGCCAGCTCAGCGCTTTCCCTCTTTAGTGCCATCTGTTTTGCTGCCATGGGGTATTGGGGCAAAACTCCTGGAATTTCCAACAGGCTGCTCGATCAGTTGATATCGGTGAACCAAATCATTTTGGCTGCTTGAGTCGCTTGAGTCCATTCCGGACCCCAAATTTGTCAGTGTTGGTACTAAACATTATTGAGCAATATTGAGCAGATTTTTTGGATTTAAACATATTTAAACCACATTAAACCCAATCATTTCGAGCCATTCCTCTCTCTTCCGCACCACCACAACGAGAACTCTGGGCTCCATGACGCGCGCGGATCGTCCGGATTCGCTTCCAGAAAGCTGCCCTGGTGCGCAACTCTATGTCTGAAAATACGTAGTGTAATTACCCCAAAATGTCTATGGTTAGTCAGAATCTTCCCTATGAAAATGGCCATAACTGGGGGATCCATCATTTTCAGAGACACCCATGTTATAGAAATTCTACTGATGATCTGTTTAATAGCGAAACTCTCTGAAACTGGAGACATGTTTTTCAAACATGGGGGACCCAGAAACATCCAAAGAGCACCATGTGACTGCAGCTGCTGTATGGGTCAAAACTTTGGGAATCCAATTTCATCTCCAGTTGAGGTCCATTCTGAGGACACAGCTAAGAACGTAAGGCATATTCTGAAACAAAATCTTCGGCAGGGTCCGAGCTTACACGAATTCCAGGAGGTCATGGTGGGACTGGTACAACTGGTCAAAGTCATTCTCGGAGCCTACTCCGGCCTGTGGAGACCGAACATCTGTTCATCGTCCCATGTAGGTCACAGCCAAAAAGAGTACAGTCTGCCACAGCATGCCACAACCATCTACTGTTGCTGTGGTTTCCCTCTCCCAATCTCCCTGGTCCTCATTCAGATCCAGAGAGCGGCCCAGGTAGTCGCTGAGCCGAGCTTGACGAAGGAAAACAATGCAGCCCACCTCAACTCCGGAAAGCTAAACAAGCTGTGATCTAAAGAAGGGTCGAGGAATCCCGCATATTTGGACTTGGAAATTCTCCTCGGTGGCGAAGTGTTTCACATCTCTCAGCCTCTCAGTGCCCTCCACTCCCTCCGCTTGACATGGAGATGTCGGACACAGCCAGGGACATGGCTGCTAGTTCCATCTCCGCCTTCTCGCCCCAAAGGTTCATTGCCTGCGACCCACACGGTCTCTACAGAGTCAACACGAAATGTGGCTATGTCCCAAACTGAGATATCTCAGGAACTTGCAAACAAATTGATTCCGATGCCAAACTGCTAAAACAACCCCTGCTGGGAAGCCGGGCGATGGACGCACTGGAGTCATCCATGAGCATCACCTGATGTCCATAATTACAACAATGTACTTATGCAACTATTGTCCACCAGGAAAAAAATGCATCTTTTGTTCCTTTTGTAGAATGAACATCCCAACTTCTGAACTGCATCTCCCCCGTCCACCACCTTTTCAGTCACTTGGGAAAATCACAGAGAAGGAACTCTCCAAAATATTCTATTTGCTAATAAATCCATGTGTATATATATATATGCAAATTAGATCCATATCCATATATATTTGCTAATAAATAAATATCCACATATATAAATTCCCTTTCATCTGCAAAAGTTGTGTACGAATTGCCTGTAGTCGTCGCAGTGTAACCCCGTTCCAAGCACTGCAGAATTCGCTGCAGCCTGCCGCTTCATCCGGACACCACTGCTACGAGTTGAGACACTGACCTCAGGTCTTGGCGGAGAGGAGGATTGCTGCTGGTGTTAAGATCTGTTCACATCTGTTCACTGTATCATTTTGTATCTGTTTCCATATATATATATGTATATATATATACATATATATGTATACATACATATATATATATATATACATACATATATATATATATATCTGTTTATTATGATGCCAAAGAAACATGAAGCTTGTTGTTAGAAATGCTTCAGGTCAAACATCGCCATCAGCTTGAAGACATCTGCGTATTTCAGGCGTTTTTCTGAGAGCTCTGCCGCTTCATCCACAGACTGAATCACGGCCATGACGTCGCAGGAGCTCCCAATGGGGGCATGACCTCGGTCACGTCACCGCGTCACAAGGCGACAGCGCCGTTGAGCGCCGTTGAGCGCCGTTGAGCCCCCGAGCCCAGCTCTCCAATCGCCACAAACTTGTAGGGAATCGCTGGAATGGATCCATCCTGGAAATGGAGAGCTGCAGTTCTTTGCTGCGTTTGCTTCTTGTTGATGGTTGCATTCTTTATCATTCTTTTGCGTTTCAGAAGTCATGAAGATTTATGTTCCAAGTCTCAGCAAGTCGTCAAACACAAGTCGCACCAGTACTGTTCTGACCATTAAAAGGCTTGTCCAAAGCCAAATTGCAGGGTGCCATTTGCCTCTGGAAGTTGGCTCACAGAAGTCCACCGATCATCCAAAGTCAGCTCCATTGGATAGCGACAGTACCTCTGCAAGAAACAACTGCCATATGATGCGAGGCCATATTAGATGCCACATGATGTTGTATTAGATGTAAATAGGCAAACTAGATCAAACTAGCATATGGCATATGTTCAACATAACATCAAGGAAATTGCGACTTATCAAAATGGAGAAAAACCGTGCAGCTGCAGCTGTTTCCCATCACCCTTAACTGGCCTGGGATTGGCCTGCTTCACTGCAGCTCCACTGATCTCATAGGTTTTCTTCACACTAATCGTGGCATAAAACCTGGCAACAAAGGTCTTGATTTCATCTTTGGTGGTGGGGAGGGAAGCCAATCAGAAATCTTGAAACCATCCAAGGCTGGGACTTGGCTTCCTACACTTCGAATCATGCAATTTCCCCACAAGCAAATCGTTGAGGTAAGACTTCCACTACTAGCCTTTGGTATCTTCGGTGGACAGCATTAAAGGATCCTACAATTCAGCGTGTCTTGGAAATCGCTTGCGTCAAGCTGCTGCCACAAACCTCGTGTTCCCTGTATTTGGCATGGCATCACATGCCTACTTACCCAGTTCACAAAGCTGAGTTTGAACCCACCCCAGTCGTCATCGTCATCCTCCTCCTGCTCCTCCTCCTCCTCCTCATCATCATCATCATCGTCGTCGTCATTGTCATCGTCATCGTCATCGTCATCGTCGTCATCGTCGTTGTTATCGTCATCGTCGTCGTCATCGTCATCGTCATCATCGTCATCATCGTCATCATCGTCATCATCGTCATCATCATCATCATCATAATCATCACCATCATCGTCATCGTCATCATCATCGTCGTCATCATCATCATCATCATCATTATCATCATCATTTTCATCATCATTTTCTTCGTCGTCATCATCATCATCATCATCAGCAGCAGCAGCAGCATCAGCATCATCATCGTCGTCGTCGTCCTCCTCCTCCTCCTCATCATCATCATCATCATCATCGTCATCGTCATCATCATGATCATGATCTGAGAAGTATCAAACACCGGCAAACACCGGCAAACACCGGCAAACACCGTCAAACACCGTCAAACACCGTCAACCACCGTCAAACCCCTCAAAACGCCGAAAAGCGTTAGCTGTTTCCCATCCAAAAATACCCCCAAACACCGTAGATGCACATCAAATCTATTGCGGCGCCCAGAAACCTGTCCACCGCAGCGCCAAAACAGGCGGCGCGCGTGCAAGCCTAAAGGGTGCCAGTGGCCGAAAACAATTCTGTGGCGGTCAAAATCACAGACACCGGAAGTTGGCCAAATCTGGTTTGTAGGAAAATGTCTAGCACCAAATCTGGTTGCTACCTTTCAAACCTGACTGTGATCTGTGGATATCTGTGGTGCATATAATTGTGACATGTGGTGCACATATTGCTGCTGCCTCTCACCAAACGCCCAAACGCTTTGATTTAATCTGCAACTTTGGGCGAGGTGTAAGTCCTCAACTTCTCCTGGTTGTCATTGCAACAGAGTACGCTTTAATTTAGACCATGCCTAGTCATTGTAAGCTGGGGAATATCAACAACATGTTCTAAACACCGAGTTCATCGAGACCCGTGCTAATTGGGATGTATGGCCCATGTTTTGGTGTTTCTGGAACCTCGGCCCTCAAGTTTGACATATTCGACTTGGGTCCATAGATGGATACCCCAGCAGGGTTTATGATGGAAAATCATGGAAAATCCCATGAAAATGGATGATGAACAGGGTAGCCCCATGGATTGGAAACCCTCCACTTCATCCCAAACGTCTGCCGACACCGCGGAGCTAAGGAACCCCTTCTGCATCCATCAGATCCATCGAGAACATTTTGCTGGTGCCTGACAAACCATGTTATGCTCGTAGAAAAAGGAGACAGCACTAAGACACTAATGTTACATATTGTATATATATATCATATTGTTACATATTGATACCTGGTATCTTGGCGAAAATAAAAAATGGAGAAATCTCGAGCGGAAAATTGTGGTCTCCCAGCCTCGGGCATTGGTAAAGGTCCGACAGCCTGCGGCTGCAACCCTCACTATCAGGATACAACAGATCCTTGGTAGGTTTTGACTATTGGATTACTACTGGATTACTATTGGATTACTCCATACTAGAGGCAAAACATCAAATCATCAACTTCTTAAGCATTTCCAAAGTTTAGCTTCCCCTTTTTGGAATGGTACATGTAGACGAACAATGCTTTCCAGAACGACGCTACATAGCAAGCGGATAAAGCTGAGGGCCATAATCCTAGGGATCCTATATCATCCGGCCAAATCCAACAGGAAATCATCGCAAACCAATTCTTCAGGTAGGTTCCCTTGGTGAACATATTCCCTCCATGTTTTTCACCTCATCACTTACACTGGAGCTCCACAAAATCCGCCGCATCGTATGCCTGACTTGCTGAGCACTCTTGCACGGATCCGACAACGTTGCATGAACCTGCGACAGATTGCTGCGCCGCAGCACATCCCAAAGCCCCAATCGAAAACAACTGACCTTGACACAGGACTTGACAACATGCTGCAAACTGCCCTCACGATCAACAAGCAATAGGAAATCTCCAAAATCTCCAAGTGACTGTCAGTATTTGTCAGTTTATCATAGTTTATCATCCATCTTTGATAGTAAGTCACCAGTACGTCATCTCCCAGGGTTGAGTCCAATGAACGTCCCTGGGGTCCCAACAGACTGAGTTGAGCAATGGGCACCAGCGGCAGCGAGTGCGAGTCGCGCCTGACGCCAGCACTGCCAATGGATGGTCATGGTGACACCATGCCTTTCTGATGGAATCTGGTGGATCAGTGGTGGATTGGTAAGGTTTTCTATGGTTTTCTATGGTTTTCTATGGTTTTCTGTGGTTTTCTGTGGTTTTGCTACAAGTTCTCCCCATGAGAACCCCTGTGCATCCCATCAGGAATCCTGTAGGACACGACCGAGGCACCCGACAGCTGGGCACTCGGTGGTCCTTCTGCAATCAGTCGTGGACCAGCAATGGATGGACTGGTCTCAACCTGGAGGAAAGGTCATGCAGCTTCAAAGAGGTTAACAAAAGGTGGATTTGACGAGGTCCCATTTCTGAACACATATATACCAAGCCGCGTGAGAATTTGTTGCTACTGTCCCCCAAGTTTTTATCATTGGTTAGGTTTCCAAATCAATGCGGGTACCCCCCCAAATCAATCCAAATCATCCAAATTTTAATGGGGGATTGTCCATGATAAACATATATATATATATAATTATATAAACATCAACCATCCAGCTATTGGGGTGCCCCGTTCTAGGAACCCCCCAGTGAAACCCCCAGTTTCACCAATGGATTCCCAAAAAAATCCTCTGAGTGTCCCTACCGGATCAGCCAGGTCGCTTCGCTTGCGCAAGGGTGTGGCCACCTGGATGACAACGACCATGGTACGCAACAAGCAGATCTCAATGGTGTGATGGGTACTTCATCAAAAAATCGCAAGTAAACGAGGCGAAACAGGTGAAATTCAATCAACAACCATCGATCTTGAACCAAGAAAAATGATGATGGGTGTCTCACTGATAAAACTTGCTGTCCAACCACTTTCTAGCTCCAATATGTAGGGGAAAATATCCCTCATATCCACTGCATTTCACGGCTTTACATCTCACACAGAATGGCATGATTGAATGATCAACTGAGGTGGCACCGAGCGGAGAATGGATGCTTCCGGCTTCGGAGGTGGTTCCTGCAGAGGTGGAAACTGAAGCAATGACCTGGGGAGATATGGGGAGATCATTCAAAAATGTCTGCATTCGAATATCAGGATGCAAAAACCTTGCCATCCAGCTGTTGTAACTCCCCTGGTTCTCATGACACCAAACAAAACCCACACACCATGCTTGAACTCTGGGCCCACAATCGGCACTCCACGTTGTAAAGTGATTCCTAAGGACTCGGAAATCATGGGACAAAATCGGTGAAATCTATGAAGTTCTCTTAAAGTAACCAAGCCAAGCTCTTACAGTTGAGATCCGCAGTGCCTGATCCTTGCTGTTCTTTGGCAGGCTGCTCAAAGAGCCTCACATTTCACAGAAGAAACATGTAATGGAAGATCATCCAACAGAGTCCAAGATGCGAAGCGCAACATCATTGACTGAATCATTGACTGAAATGCAGGAAACCAATCAGAAACCGTCAGGAACCAATGGAAATCACTGAAATCACATCAAAATTCTTCACAGCTCTTGGCCTGTGGTGCCGGTCACTGTCGTGGTCGCTTTCCCGGTCATCACACCCTCGGGCAGCTTTTTGGGCAGCTTTGGGACATGGGTGCGACCGCGAGAATCTCTGGGCATAGCGGCATAGCTGCACCATGCTGCACCCTGTCCTGCTCATGTCCTGTGTCCCAAGGCGACACATCCCGCCATCCCCGTACCAACTCAGACGAGCGTCCACAGGTTGACCAAGGATGCGGAAAACATCTGGCGATGATTGATCCCAGTCGTCCACCTTAGGTCAGGCCAAAGTTCGAACTGTGTGACAAATCATCTTCCTGTCAACAGAAATCCGTTTGTACCAGGTGATCTGCTTCCTTTTAAACGATTTGATGATGAAGCTGTGGCATTGCACCACAAGTTCTTGGTCATGCAGTGTTGCCTATCAAATCCACCAATCTGCATTTATCATTTATCTTTCTTGAAATCCTGCTGCACTTGTAGCTCTCCCACTTTTGCAGAATCAGAAGCCTGAAGTTCCCTAAAAGCTGGAGAGACCACTCAAATCCAACTGAAACCAATAATTGGGCCTCCTCTTCCGTTTTTCACACTCCTGTCTCTACATCAGCCCTTGGCTGTTTCTGAGACTCATGCAAAGACTGCTGGCAAACCTGAAAACAACGGTCCATGGGCCAGTCCATGGGTTCCTACGGGGCTATGGTCAGCATCCTTCTGGTACATTGGATCGAGATATCTTGCTGAACGTCTCAGTTGCCAATCCACTCTTCAAAGCTAAGGCTTGAAAAGGCACAGCAAATCCTTCTAGATTCCCTAGTCAAAGATTGGTCTTGGGTTGGTCAAGGGCTGGCACTTGGTTCAGATTCTACCACAATGACTTCCGTTGATTCAGCATAGCTCCCACTGGCTAAGATGTGTAGGAAACATGTTGACTTCAGTTGCCCCTTATCCCATCGCTGGTGGCTGGATACACAGAGCATGAATAAAACAGCAAACACAGACCTGATGATGTATGCGCAGATCGTCCTGCTCAACGCACCTTCGTGAATGCCACTGGTCCACTCCAAGAGCTGGATCACGCTGCCTTCTTCGGGGTCCTTTGGCGCTTGGCAGTGACACTCAGGTGTCTCCAGCGACTATGAGCCTTATGGATCCTTATGGGTGATGCTGCACCCCCAAAGTCCGAAGCATTGGCCAAGGGTCCCAAGGGTGACAAAGACATCTCTTGAGCTAGTGCTCCAACAGCAAAGGTTCAAGGATCAACTCTACTGCTCTACTCCAACAAGCAAAGATGTTGAGAGACTCGTAAGTGCCATCAATTGGGTACCAAAAACAGGGACCCTGTTTTATATGTTAAGACAGTGCAAGACAATTTGGTTGGAGGTCCTCAGCACTGAAATATTGACAAATGTGTGTGAGTGTGTTCTCTGCCTGCAACAATCTATATATTGTAGGTTTCTGTTTCAGCACCAAGAATACCCAATCAAAGGTCAGCTTCATATGTAATATACAAATATATATATATAGAGAGAGAGAGAGAATTGGGAACCCCTATGACTGCGGGGTTCCCAATTTAATGGAAATGCCCGCGAGGAGGATCGGGTGTTGGGAGCTTCAACATAATTTGTACCAATACTATGGTTGTGGGTTGTCAAACCGAGCATATGTCCAACATGGGAAGGTGACTATCTCGTGGCTCAACAAATCCAACAGCCGCAGATCTCCTTAAGGTCGGCACCCAAAACAGCTAACAGGTAGTGACAGCCTCTGCGGTCAATGGAATTTGAGCAGATGGCAGACTCAAGTGTCTGGATACCCCAAACTCATTGGTTTAAATGACTCAGGACCATTTCTGAAGATTTCAAGGTTCCCCAAATACTATTTTCTTGGGGGCCTCCCCAATTGGAAATCCAAACATCTGCAGCTGCACCCAAGTCGTGTCACCCTTTGGCTGCTGGCCATCTGAGATTCGCAGGAGAGTGCGGCTGTCCTCACGCACCGAGACACAAAGTTTGAAAAAAAGGTCAGAAGAAAACTTACTGGTGCTTAGTAGGGAATGAGGGAATGATCCATAATCAGTAGTAATAATCATCCCATTCCCCCATTCCCATCCATTCCCTACTAAGCACCAGTAAGAAAAAGGTCAGAAAAAAAGGTGGCCAAAAAAGGTGGCCAGAATCACCTGGAACTTTTAATCATCCGGGATCGCAGGCCCTCGCCCTAGCTCCCAAACCTGCCATCACATGCATCGTTCATCATCTCCTTGGCAGTCTCCCGCGCCACCTTTTTGCCAATAACCTGGTGCCGGTAAACACATGACAAAAACTTGGATGAATGATGATACCCTCAATCAAACATGGCAATGGAAACTCCTTCATTTATAGACAATTAAAGATCATTGCATAACCATTACTGTACATCCATTTATAGAGGATTTCTCATTGCCATGTTTGATTGCCGGAGGATAAATGCGGAAAATGACGACCCCATCAGTGGATTCACCCTTGGACGATCCGCGGACCCTACCTGCACCAGAGGTGTAACAGAGCCACTGACTGCTGTTCCACATGCCAAAGCAAGGATGCCTCAGTTCTCCCATTGAAAATAGGAACATGATCTACAAATAGAGGAGCTTCCATTGCCATGTTAGATTACTTTCTGATATTTGGGTCTGGGTAGGGCACTATACTCCCATCCAATCAGTGATCACGAAGTCACTCAGAATTCAGGACCCAAATGGGAGGAATCATCCAAAATCAGTCCTTTTCAATAAGCAAAGCCTGGGGTACCCCAATTTGAGAAACACCCATTTTGTTGAAAACCACCTGAATGTTGGATTCCAAAATGTTGTCTTTCCGCTCTCTTGCATTTGTATGGAAGCACCCAGAAGGAGTATCTACTTGCTCCAGCCATCCTGCCATCGACCGGGTTGAAGTAAACCGAAAAGTTGTCCGCTTCAGCCATCCGAAACGTTCCAAAAATGGAGACAGCCAACCCTATGGATTCCCACTGTCACTCGATCTTGGATCTTCAAGGTCCAACAGGTACCATCTCATAGTGTTCCTGCCCTGTTGCATCCTTCCGTTAGGGCACTTTTCCCTCCTGACACGGCGGCACACAGGGAGATGCCCCAAATTCTATCCGATATGGAGAAAGTTCCAGATCCACTCAGAGTAATGTGGGTAAAACAATAAGAAATCGCCCATTTGAGAATGATTTATAGGACCTATTTATTGTGATTTGGGGGATGGTTTATAGTTTTGCTTTACCCAAATTACTACTTGGGATTACTGGGGTACTGTCTGCATCAAAATTGGGTGAGGTTGTATACAGCAGACGTGTTGCTTTGATATATTATTCATTACTTCTACCGAATGGCCGGCAACTGTGAACCCAGCCTTTTTCAACGTCCCAAGGTCTAAAGTTTTGAGTATCTTTTCAGGTGGGAGTTCTAGTTGCGTTTGCTCCCGCAAACCATCTTCAATGATCTAACCCTTGGTCAACGTACAGGGAAAATGTATAAAAAGCTAGAGTTTTGGAATGCCCAGTATTGATGGTCCCCAGGTTCTGGAGGCAAACCAAAGAAAATGGGCCGAATGGATCATTCAAACCGCTCAGAAACTGGTACCTAATGTGAGAATTGAAATCATAAGGAGCATAGGTCAAAATGGGTCAACCACTGGGGGGACCTGGAGATCCATGATTTAGCGTTCCATTTTTAGAGCAAACCTTCCTGGTTCCGGTCCACAACAAGTAACTGACATCTGCCCATGATCTCCTTGGGCGCCTGAATACATCGCCTGAAACAGTCCAGCGGTCAAAAAAAGCATCTGTCATGGGATTTCCGAAAGAACTGCCCATTGATATTGGCTCTTCTTGTGGTTTCCTCTCATGGGCCACATTCTTGATCCAGTTCAGGGCCCTGCAGACAATCAGTTGTACAAGCTGTATTGTGCTGAGACACCTGTATATCAGCCGTCTATTGTACGATGAACGTTCTGCAATAAGGGCAATGTATCTTACGAGAGAAAGAAAGAAAGAAAGAAAGGAAGGAAGGAAGGAAGGAAGGGCAGGCAGGCAGGCAGGCAGGCAGAAGCTAGAGAAGAAAAGCTTCTCTTGATCCGTTTAGCACGTTTAGGAACACTTGTTGCCTTTCAGTTGCGGGGATCAGGGCCATTCATGATTTTGTGGGTTTTACCTTGCCCAAGTTTTGGAATTCTTCGTTAAGAAAAATACTGGAACGGTTCAAAACACATCCTTCAATGCTTCCCCGCCAGAACTGTGCCCAAACTGAAGAGTATGCAGAAATGCTACACGCATCACACATAATACAGTAAACATCCTACGTATTTTTGAGATTTTTGGAGGCTTATGACCTGTGGCTACACAACATCAACCCGGCCATTCACCTTGAACATGCTGCGGGATCCCGGTTGTCGCTGAGTGAAAGCTCTGAGCCAAACCCTGCGGTCAAGTGATTCCGATGCTTCAATTGCCGCTAGAAACGCTAGGGATATCGCAAAAGAAAGGGACCTAAGGGACCTTGTGGGTTTCTGTCTGAAGCACATCTGAATTTGCGACATTTTGCGACTGCTGCACATGTTCCGATGCAGAAATGGATTCTGATCCAGAAGAATTTCCATTTTGGGTCAGTATGGGTCAGTCGGAGTCTTCATATGTCTTCATGCTTCACCCAGTACCCCCTTGACCTCGGCAAAGCGCTTTGGACCTTTGCAGGTCAAGCGTGAAGCAGGGCTGCGGTTCAAAATAAGCAGCAGGATTCAATGGAATCAATTATTCATTCAGTATCATGCAGTATCATTCAGAGTCAATATAGATCCAGAAAACATCATATCCTAGCCTCGTTAAGTCCACACTCCATTACAATTTTTAGTAACTACACATGTTCTAAAACATCATTTCTCGGGTCAAGCGTTTGGATGCGTTTGGAGGAGGGCTACCCTTTCAGCACCATCCTTTCGTCTTTGGTTTCCCGGCATTCCCTGGGAAACTTCACCAAGGATCTTCCCACGCGCACCATGGACTCCAACATCCTTGACTCACCGGACTCAGCACTGTGACTTACTGTTGATAGGGGGGTCGTCATCCCCTGCAGGTCGGTTTGGCGGCACTGAATTTCCCAGAAAAAGGGAATTTTACGATGCCAATTTGGAATCGAGAGGAGTCAAACATGGAGAGTTTCTCATCAAACACCTTGGATCTTGCATCAAAACAGAACTCCTTCCTGTGTAGACTTTGGGATAAACATCAAGCTTCATGATCAGAAGAGTGGCACTTAAAGCTTGCGCAGCATCTCACGCTTCAAGTAACTCTCATCACCGCTCTTTGGCCCCATTGGACCCCCTGGCCCCACTGGCCCCATGCTGATCAGCATCTTATCTTTGTCAAAGTCTTGGAACACAGAGAAGTCCTGCAAACATCACTGAAGCAATGCGACCCAGACCACAGCATTGTCATCGAAGTATGGGCAATTCGATGCAATTCGCAACTGTCCTTCTCCAAGATCGCACCAGTGCCGTCACGATCTAGAATGCGAAAGATGACCTGGAGTCAGTTGACAGGACTCCATGGGTTTGTCCCAAACCAAAATGCTGCCTTCACCCACAGCCCTTGCGACTGCTGCGCCTCAAGAAGCCCAGAGGTGGAAGCTTCGCGCCATTCCAACTGCTTTAGGCCGGACTCAAAGTCCTTGAGGATTGGGACATGGACGAAGTCTGACTAACACCAAACCATCCATCACTTGGTACAGCATAGCAAGGACGTAGTTCGGACTTGATGGCAATCAAAACTGATGCGTGTGTATATACACATAGTTTATCCAAATCTACTTCAACACATATATATATATATATATATTATACATATGTGTACACACATGCACACGTGATCACATATTATGTATAGTCCACAGTATGACCCCCATATCTTTAGAACTCTGATGTTGGCTGCCACGTTCAAGACACCCTAAGACGAGACAACGAGTCCTCGAAGGTCAGGCGCCCGCGTTCAGTGACGTCCAGGCTGCGGAAGGCTTTCTTCAGATTTTTCATCTTCTCCTGACCGCGGGTTCCGATGAATCAACAAAAGAGAAACGTGGGGCCTTCCAGCTGTGGCCCAAAATAGTAGTGATAATGGTGATGATATGATAGTGATGATAGTAATGATCAAAGGAAAATTAGTTCGAAAACTTCCGAGTTACGGACGAATGTCCAGGGGCAGTCTTCAAGAGCAGTTCGCGTGTGGGAGCAGTACCCAGAGTTTCCAAAAGACATTGAATAACAAAGGTGCTTAATTAAGGGGGTTTGATTTTTAAAAAATCAAGGCTGTACCTTCATG